CGGCGGCTTCGGCGTCGGTGTGGTGGTCATCGTGGAGTAAACGTAGTTTTTAGTGAAAGGTATATACGGGCCTAATGTGGACAGCACTTTCCCCTGCTTGTACGTGAAACTGGTGTCGTAAGGGCTCAAGGTCTTACTGGTGGATCCACTCTGCTGATAACCGTTGGTGCTTCTCCACGGCTTCTCGGTCGAGCTGATCGAATTCTGCTGGAAGCTTTGCAAAGTCGCGCGCCAAGGATCCCCCGTTGTACCTCTGGGCCCGACGTTCGTGATACTGTTCTCGTTTTGGCAATTGGAGTGAACTTGATCGCGACAGTCTCCGTAAAACGGCGTCGACGAGGGAAACGGGTCCGGACTGACGGTCGCAGTGACGTTGGCGGCGTTGTGCCGGTAGCTCTCCGTATTCACGTACGGACGCGTAGTCGCGAAAGAGGTGTCGGCGTCTCTCTGTTCGGTCACCCTGTTATCAACGTACTGCTGACTCTGATAATTCCCGCGGGCCGGTGGCACTCTACCTATCGCGGCGGGCGTCCGCAGATCGCTGTACGTAGTGAAGGACGTAGTCGGGTACTCCTCCGCGGAGGAAGTCACGGTCGACGTGTCGGCATTGGCGTACGTGGTTTCCGGAATGTCGCCTTGCCCGTAGTAGGGAGTGCTGTAATAAGACGTCTCGGTCGTCGGCGTGTACTGCAACGTTGTTTCGTAAGGTGGTAACGTCGTCGTTCTGGCCTTGTAGATAGGAGCGTATGTGGGCCCGGGATACGGCGGGGCGCCCGTTTTCGGCGTGAAGGACACCGTCTCGCTCTCCTCGTTCCTCCGCGGCGCGGACGTGGTGGTCGTGGTGGTCGTCGTCTCGTGACCACGGTAATCAGCGGTGGTGGTGGTGGTACGATCTCGATAATCGTACGAATGATAATAATACTGTCGAGTGTTCTCAGATTTGGCCGCGTTAAAGCGATTTCCCCGGCTGGACACGAACGCGGCGCTTTCCGCAAACTGCTGGTACTCCCTCGGAGGCGTCGCGGTTGTAGTTCTGAAGGTCGTCGTCTCCATGTACGTCGGCGTAGCCTTTTGCGACTGGTTGGAACCGAACAGATTGTTTCGCGTCGAGGTTCGCGATTTCGGATTATTGAACGCCGGCTTCTCGTTGTTGCGCGGCGTATTCTGATTGGACTGATAATGATCCTGCCTTTCTGTGTTGCTCTGATAATTCTGCCGACTGTCCTGGAACTTATTGCTGTGATCGTAGTTGAACTTGCCGTTCTGCGTATCTAGCTGATTTCTCTGCTTATTGGACGCCTGATAATTCGATCCACCGTTGTGATATTGTCGCTGTTTCGACGACTGATCGTAATTCTCGGGTGTCTGGCTCGTCTTCTCGTTAGCCCGTAACGCGTTCGCGTTGTTGTCTTGGAAATAGCGACCAGAACCACGAGTGTTATCGAAAACGTTGTTCGGCCCGAAGTGCTGGTTGGACTTCGGTTCGTCCTGCCTCTCCGGGATCTGATTCTGCTTGGCGGCGGGCTGACCGTACGGATTCGTTCTGCCGTTTTGTCTACCGTCGTAGTCGACGTTCTCGTAGTAATCCGCGTTATTATTTTGCTGCTCCGCCGCGCGATGAAACTCGGACTTCATCTTTCTCGCCTCCGTACGTTTCTTCTCCTCCTCGGCCAATTGCTCGGCGCTCTGCTCGTACAATTCCGTGGACCTGCTGCAATCCACTTTGAACCACCAGTCGCATATAAGTTGCGATTGTTGGAAGATAGTGCCGTTGGGACACAGGAACGAGATCTTGCGTCCATTGTCGCAGATGTGGAACACCTGAAATTACATTCAGTTTCGGTGACAAGTGTATCATTAACCGTGAAGTCTCTGTAGCAACGCTACAAGCGTCATTATTTATACATAAATATTATTTATACTTCTTCCAAAGGCAATTTTGTACAGAAATTATATTGAACAGAAAATTTTTTCTTCATTTCCTTCCATTTCCCAAACTTTTTAATTTGTCATTTAATATATTTATACCTGTCTCTTATACACATCT